TATATATTGTTATGTCATACGAAAGTTTATAATTTCAAATCACAGAGGTGATAAATTAGATTAATAAATACTATAGAAAAAAGCATTATATCAATTATTATATGATTTGGCTAATTAGACTACATACGAAAAAAGTAATATAAAAGAAAATATTGCAACTCTTTCTGTACAAAACTGTCTAAGCAACTACATGTAAAAATAAAAACAATTATAGTAATATCTTCACTTTCCTTTCATGAAAAAGTAAAACCCGAATATGTTAAGAAAATCAGAACAAAACGAGCGTAACATGATTTGTCTATTTAAACTTTACTTATCCTAATATATTACTTATTTGCATCTTTTGCAAGTCGTTATTTGAGTTGTTATATTTAATTAGATATATTAGTATCTGATTAAATATGTGAATTAAATGAAATCCATATTCTAATGACTTCAATGACAATAAATATAGGTTTAATTTACCAAAACTTTATATAAATGTTACCGAAGATTAATGTGATATTGAATCTTATAATTTGTTGTCATATTTACAAATTTATATTGCCACCAATAAATTGAAATGTAAAAGGACATACTGTATACAGACTTTCTTTTTTTCAATTTGTTGGAGAATATCTTGTTTTCTTTTCTTTTTTCTATCTGTGACGTTCAGGCAGACGTGCCCTCAGCCTAATAGTTTCGGAAGTGACTCGTGTTTAAAGACTCAATGATTCACAGGATTTTGCAATTCACACCCAGTGTCACATTTCACTGCATTCTCAACGCGATGTTGGAGAATATCAAACTGTATTGTACTTAAAAAAGAAAATTATAAATAGCAATAGGGCACTAACGTTTGGGTGAAATTTTTTTTTAGGAAAAATAGGTACGTATTTTTTGTTTAAACAAACACGACTTATTTTGTAGACATTGAATAGAGTCATAGACAAGACAAATACGTACATATTCTTTTGTTGTCTAGCTACAAAATTTATTCATCATCAAATTCTGCTTTTATTTTAATAGTGATCTTTGAAAACGTACATAGAGTACTAATATTCATGTACGTACATCTCCAACAAAACCAAAAAAAAAAAACATAATAGGATTGATTTAACAAATCAAGAAAACATGCATAGTTTGTAAATATATTTTTTGCAACATTATAAAGTAGAAGAAAATGAAGATTGTCGTCTCAAATTTCTATAGAACTTTGATATGAACTCATCAGCTTTCTCATCTACATGATTATCCATTTCTTCCACCGAAAAAGGCGAATCAGTAACTCTCAACTGTCTTCCAAATCCACAAAAATAATTATCTGATAATGTTGTTTCACCCTTAATCATCTCCAATGCGGCTTCCATTACCTCCGCATTCATCATCACAACATCTTCTTCATGAATAGTAGTGTGTTTTTTCATGTCCAACTTTGGGCTGCTAGTGCAACTAAACTCATAATACTCATCCTCACGTGGAGGGCAAAATGGTAAATTACCACTCTTGACGTGGTCGGTGCGGCGGTTTTGGTTGTGGTGGTGAAGGTGGAACATGATATTTTGGATCACGACTTTGTAACTACTAATCTTGCTACGCTTCATCATTAATTTGATATCGAGCATTATTTTTTGCTTTGATATACCTTTTCTTAACATGCATAACGTCACTCGAACAATTTTCCAAAACTTCTTTCCTACCACTACCAAATTTTGATCCATTTTTTTTGTGTGTGTGTATTGTTGTTGCTAATTGAATTGGTAAGACAAAAAGTATATGAAGGGGTATATATAGTGGACCATTTTAACGTTAATATGTTAAAGTGAGGAGTTAAGTGAAGGGTCCATTTTGATATTTTGGAATAAAAAATCGAATATTTAATTGACTCAATTATTAGTGGTGTTGGTAATTTTTACACTATACAACTTTAGGTCACTATCACTCCCAAATTAATTGTGTGATTAATTATTTTTTCCTCAAGGAAATCAATATTAATTTGGTCACGTATGTCCCAATTAAACACCTCTTTCTTTTTTTCTGCTCCCCATTCAACAATTTTCTTCTTTAATTAATACCTCAAACCATATGAGATTTCTAAAAATTCATTACTAACTAAATTTTCAAATTATTGATAATTGATACGACCCGAATATACTCGGAATTAATTAATTTTTCTAGGATATGTCTTTTGTACTGATAGTACGGCTAGTCTGATAATGCGTGTTAAATACTTGATCACTCTTAATGATATATTTTGAATTTTGATAGGAAATTATTTTTTTCACTTATCAACGTGAATTTTAGTTAATCGAACATCAAAATAAATACTAACAACAAATAAGAAGATCGGTTAGTCTCAAACTTTGAAGATTGCTCCTTGAAAAGATAATTGTTCTTAATTAAGTCACTTAGCTCAATTATAATGATATTTAGGTTTGTCTACTTAGTGGGGAGGATATTATCTAAGATTTGATCTTATAAGATATGATAATCAACAAATAGGAAGCAAACAAACAAATTAAATTTAAACATAACAAATTAATATTACTACGTTATTGCAATTTTTTTTGTTTGGATACATTAGTCTTTTCTCAATTTCTAGGATATGAGTTGAAAGGATACCTCCAAAACCCTAGCAGCTATTTGTTAGTTTGAAAAGTTTACTTAACAGGTAGGTTTTCCTTTTTTTTTTTACAATAAAGTTTATAATGTGGGTGTACCAATCATGAGAACCTAAGTTTCTTTTTCTTTTTTTCTTTATTATATTCTCTTCCTACAGTTATCCCATATCCAAACCAAAGAGAGTTCACAATTAATTAAATTAATTGAATACGAAATGTAACAAGTATGAGAGTACTTTCTAACGTTTAAAAATTATTTTTCAATAGAGTGCATAGATAAACTATTTTTACTTTAATAAGGATCTAATTATATTGTTAGTCATATATTTTTTTTCTATTATTAATATGGTCCTGAAAATATTGAGTACCAAAAGGTATGTAACCAAGTATACAAACCTTGTCTTTGCTTGCATGGCTAGTGCCTAGTTGACTAGAACTAATTAATTGTTGGTGGAAGGTCTCACCCCAAGGTTTATTATAATTTTTTTCAATTTTTAGGATTCAATTATTCTTTTTTTTACGATATTTAATTTAAATAAATGTTACATGGAAAATTGAAATAAAAAGAATTACTAAAAAATTGGAGAGAGTCATTATTTTGTAAAAGGAGAAAAGAAAAGTAAATCAAACAAATGAAAACGAATGAAATGTTATTTTTATATGAAATACTTAGAAGTTCTTCAGTTTTTTAATAAGAATTTTTCCACTATGCATTTTTTCTAGTAAGCTGATCTGATAATAATGAATCAAAAAATTATATTCTGCACGAATATAGGAAGGCCCAAGGGGTGTCAGGAGACACGATTTCGTCAGAAAAATTTGATATATATCTATATAAATACAGAAAATTATAAAGATATATAGAATACAATGTTTCTATTGATACAAAAGTCAGTGTGGCTTAGTTGATGAAGTGTTTCAATTCTTAAGTGAGGTTGCAAGGTCAAATTCCTACACATTTTTTCTTTTTATATACATTTAGGAGTTTCAAATTGTTTGATATATTTTCTTTTCTTCTTTTGCTTTTTATTTTTTCTTCTCTTAATATATATATATATATATATATATAATAAAATTAAAAAAAAGCAATCCAACACTATTATTTTTAATAATTTGTAGTTTCTATAATTGGGAAAAATGAGGCAAGTCAAATCACGATGGTAGGGTTCCTTCCACTGCATTTGGAGGCTCAACTTTATTAGTTAGGAATTAACGTGGGGAGTATAAAATGTGTATAGTGTCTCTTGCTTTCACGTTAATGTAATTTTATCGTCTCAAGTTAGATCCGTTAGTTTTAACTTGTTACAGTATTTAAGAAAATAAAAGATATTTAAAATTTGTAATCTAAAATTATTCATAAATATTTATATGAATGTAAATTATTTCATTCATGGTAAAATAAACATTTTAAAGTTAGATTGTCATCAAGTATAGAATTATGTCATTTTTATGAAACTAACTAAAAAGTGAATCATATAAATTAGGACATAAAAAATACTTATTTTTGGGTAGTATAATAACATCCTTAATTTGGTTGTGGTTGATTTATTTGCAAAATTATATTTTTAAATGTTAATGAACTCTATCATTCTTCCTACTTTTGAACAAAAATGTACCTACTATAGAAAAAAGGAGTCCCAAATTGTTCATGTTAACTTGCAAAAGTTTGTCTTCTCATGCTTTTGCTCTTTTTTGAATCTTTGAAAATACTTTTTAAAGATTTTTTTTAGTTTTTAATGAAGGCATTAAAATTTTATTTGATAAATTCATATTATTGAATTTTGGATCAAATCTTAAGTTCATGATATGTTCATCAAATTAAATTTTTGGTTAATAAAGTTGAATAAATATTTACGTTAAAATGATATGACTTGAATAAAAGCAATTACATTTGAATTAGTTTGTCAAGTAGATAAGACGATTTCAACCCATGTTCTTCAAATTAATGTCGGTCAAAATTACTTTGGAGATTAAAATATACTCAAGCTCTAGTTCACACCTATATAAAAAGATTTTCATAAAGGTCAGAAGAAAAAAATACATAAAGAAATCCGTTCATTTACAAAGAAATCTTCATCTCCATCTCCATGTACTAGTGAGCCGCAAGGTGTTAACAACAACTAAACAATGTTACAAGAAATAAAAGTTGGTCCATGGTATATGTTCAATATTGTTTATAGTAACTTGAAGAATTCTAGTTTCTCTTGCTTTTTGTTTGCACTTTTTGAAGTAATCTCTAGAAACTTTTCAAAGTTAATTATTGGTCAAACTAAATAGGGGTAGCCATTGGTTTGGCCGTATTGATTGAAAATGTTAAAAATATTTGAAATATTGACTTAATTGATTGAGTTACCTAATTCAACGTGCTTTGCATTTGCAATTGTACTTTAGCTTTAAGTTGAAAGAATGAAAAAGTTTAGAATCGATGGTTATTGAAATGAGTAATTTTTTTTTATAAAATTTAAATAATTTTTTTATTTTGAATTAGTTTTTTGGATGTGTATTAAATTCAAAACTTTTATTATATTAATAATTTTTAAAATTTCTTCCTTATAACGTAATTTCATAATTTATCTTGTGTCGAAATTATAGAATATTATTTAATTTCAGCCAATTCATTATTACTTTATTGGTAATCATATTTGATTATTATAATTTGAAATTTTATAAATTGAAGACCTCTAATCTTCTTTTCATTTCAAAGAACATAATAATATAGTCGATTAGAGAGTTTTGTTTATGAGGAGATTTTCTCCTAACATGTTTAGACTTTTTTCAATATTAGTTTTATAATACGTAAGTCGTTTAACCATATATATTATTAATATGTTGTTAGAATGTTTTTTCTTTCTCCGTCTAATTTATTAACATCATAATTTGTAATCGTTAACTTTTGCATGATGCCACCCACATATAATATTAATATTTACAATTCTAAATAATCTTTATAATATTTCTATTTTTATAACGTTGACGTACGATACCCCGCACAAAAGCAAATTGTTAATTATTTGTTGCAATTTGAAATTTGAAACATTAATGAACTCGAGAAGCTTTTGAACAATATTGACATAACTTTTTTTTTCCCAACTTCCTTCTTTCTATCGAATACAATTGTTAACGATAAAGTTAATTTCAAATGTTATCTCGAAATTATAATTCTTATAGTATCAAATGAGTTCTTTATTTAGGACGGTAGATTCTTAAGGCGTATGTTGACCAATTTAATTCTAATGCTTTATTACGCCAAATTTTACTTTTTGATGTAACTTAATTTGGTGAAATCTATCGTCTAATAATTTGGTTGACATTGTTGATTTTTATTGCAAATAAACTCTTACTATCTTCAGTGTATTTAAGTTGTTCTAACCAAAAAAACACTATAACTGCGGATGGTATTATTAATTTGATGAAAATATATAGAATATCAATCAAAATTTATGTGGTAAACTGGATGGAATATGTCATATTATTAAGTGTGCTCTGCCTTCCTATACAAACAGAACAAGAAATTTTGACTCGAGTACTATGTGTTTCGGTTTGGAGTAAGAGAGTCAAATTAACTAATGTGTGATGTGAATTTAGAAAGAATTTCAACTCCTCTATAAATAAAATTAACATATTTAGAAATTACATAAAAAGTATAATCAATCACAATGGTAATTAATATTGAAAATTATCTTTAAAAAATATGTGGTCAAAAAAATATTCTTGACGGTTTAAATAGTAATTAACACAAACAAATTAAAATGAAGACACAATTATTTACCGGTGAAAGGTTCATTCTTTATTTTGATTATTAGTATTTTACACAAGTTAAACAACTTCTTTTGTTTAAAACACAAATACATGGAGAAAATAAGCACACACTATCCACAAATTATTCCAATCTTCATAATTTTTTCTATATTTCTTTGTTTATATTAATCAGCTACCCCACACAAAAGCAAAAAATCAAATAAAATTGCCTTTGCAAATGAAGAAAAACATGCATATATTGTATAGTTACAATCATAAAGTAGAAGAAAATGAAGATTGTCGTCTCAAATTTCTATAGAACTTTGATATGAACTCATCAGCTTTCTCATCTACATGATTATCCATTTCTCCCACCGAAAAAGGCGAGTCCGTAACCCTCAACTGTCTCCCGAACCCACGAAAATAATTATCTGATGACGTTGTTTCACCCTTAATCATCTCCAATGTGGCTTTCATTACCGCCGCATTCATCATCACAACATCTTCTTCATGAATAGTAGTGTGTTTTTGCATGTCCAAATTTGGGCTGCTAGTGCAACTAAACTCATAATACTCATCCTCATGTGGAGGGCAAAATGGTAAATTACCACTCTCGACTTGGTCGGTGCGGTGACGATTTTGGTTGTGGTTGTGGTGGTGGAAGTGGTACATGAGATTTTGTACCACGGCTTTGTAACTACTAGTCTTGCTACGCTTCATCATTAATTTGATATCGAGCATTATTTTCTGCTTTGATATACCTTTTCTTAACATGCATAACGCCACTCGAACTATTTTCCAAAACTTCTTTCCTACCACTACTAAATTTTGATCCATTTCTCTATATGTAAAATTGAGA